GCGCGTGGCGGCGCCCGGGAGCGGCTGGCAGGAGCGGCTGTGACGCGGCCCCACACGCGAGGCTGGAGGCGAGCGGAGCATCTCCCCGGGACGCGAGTGCCCGCAGCAGGCACATGTCCGTGCAGGGAGGCACTGCCGCCGTACTGCTGCCTGCCGAGCTGCCAGAGGGCTGTGAGTAGCCCCTGGATGGCCGTCAGCAGCCCAGAGGGCTGCGAGTAGCCCATGGAGGGCTGCAGTCCCTGCCCTGTGCCAAGGCTGCAGTCCCTGCCCCAGAAAGGCACCACTTCACCAAATCTGGGGTGGTGCCACCCCACAAACAGCTGCGCACAGGCGAGACCGCGGGAGCTGCCCACCCTGCTCTGAGCTGCCATTGTTGCTCAGGAAACAGCTAATTAGTCGCTCCTGCTAATTAGCCCGAGTCCTCCCTCATGATACCAACTGCTCCTTTTTGCAGAAGGATGCGCAGCCGATAATTAAAAACAAGAAAGTCCTTTGGCTGGTATGCGAAGAAGCCGGGGAGGCTGCCAGGAAGGCAGGCCCCGGCATGCATCACCACCAGCCGCGCAGCTCTTCCAGCCAGGCCGGCAGCGCCGGGTCTCAGGCACCCCCGGCCAGAGGGGCACCCCCGGCCAGAGGCCAGGCAGGCCCTCCCCTGCCCGCAGCAGGGACGCCTCCGCCGCAGGGCGTCCGTCCCCCTTCCTGGAGGAGCCCAGCACGGTGCTCTGGCGTGTCTGCCTGCCGCTGCCCGTGAAGGCAGGGGGGGCCAGGCTGCAGCCGCTGCGCCGGCAGGAGCGGGGAGCAGCCCCCCGGCGTGGGCTGAGCCGCCCCGGCAGGCCGGGGGAGACCACAGGCTCTGGGCACTCTGCATTTTAAAGGCTGCACCACCTGCTCCACCCAGCCAGCCTCTCTCCTCCTTCCCCTGGAAACTGGCCAGCGGGGCCGGGATGAGTCTTCTCCAGCTCCCACCTGACGGTGCGAACCACATCTGAAGGGCAGCTGGGAACGCGCTCTGCCTGCAGTGCTACCCAGCGCCGCGGGCCTGCAGGGTGAGGCCTGATCCTGTCCTCGCCACCTCGCATCCCTGCCTCTAGAGCCAAGCTCCAAGAAGCTGGGAGAGGCCAGGCTGGGATGGGGTGGGCTCTCTGCAGCCTCTGCAGGTTGGTGGGAGTACTGAGAAGGGACCCGGGCCTGTGTGGAGACCCCTCCTCTGCGTGGAGCTCCCCAGACACCAGCCTCGCCCTGGGGAGAGATGACCGATTTCCCACCAGCGCGGCTTCGAGCAGCGTCCCGGGGTCCTCGGCCGCCTGCTGCCCCCGACCAGGGCGGCACCGCCCAGGGGAGCCCCAGCTGGAGGCCCCCTGCTCCCCCCGCGCCCTGGCCCCCTGGGAGCACCGTACACCACAGGCAGCCACCGTCCCTCAGCTTTATCGGGGTCCGAACCGCAGCCCACG